TTACCCTGATGGGGACATGGTTGGCCTGCAAACTGCCCCAGGCTGGTCCCGCCCCCCAAGGGGACTCCCACCCTCATCCAGAACCAGCCAGCCCCCACCCATGCACCAGGCTTCTATCTTCTATACTAATAAAAGGGTAATATGCTTATTAGATCAGGAGACCTTCTGGACAAAGCCATGGTGGGGGGATCAAGGCAGAGGCAGTTAGGGGCAATTAGTCTGGCAGGGGAGGGCAGGTGAGGGCGAACAAGCTGGCGAGTAGGGGGGGGATGTTGGGGTCAGCAGGCCAGCAGGGGAGAGAAGTTGGGGACGAGCAGGCTGGTGAGGGGAGCATTTGGAGCAATCAGGCTGGCAGGCAGAGTGGTTAGGGGCAATCAGTTAGGCAGGCATGTAAGTGGTTAGGAGCCAGCTGTCCCAGATTGTGAGGGGGATGTCTGACTGCCAGTTTAGGCCCAATCGAGGGGTCCCAGATTGGAGAGGGTGCAGGCCAGGCTAAGAGACACCTCCTGCCCCCATGCACTATTTCATGCACCAGGCCACTAGTCTATAATAATAGTAGTTGCTGATGAGCTTCTTGTGTGTCTCCCAAAACATTCTGAAGCTTTAGGAGAGGGGAAGCCTTCGCCAACATAGCTAACCATTGACCTCAGGACATGGCTGACCTTTTGTAGATCTTTGAGGTATAGCTTCAGGGGGCAGTGAGTTCTTCCAGAACTCCGGTCTTTATCAGAGGGCTAATGTAGACTGGTGTGGAAAGACTCTGGGAACTGAATTCTCCCTTTACCACCCCTGCAGAGTATCTTGTTCAGAAACAAAGGCCATCAGGGCTTAAAAACAGCATGCACACATTTGAGAAGAAGCGAGGCTCACTGACCCTTAGACTGCCACAGACACAGAAACACATCCTTTTGGTTTTGCTTGTTGCTGAGGTGATATGGTTTTCATACCTAATAGGGAAGCTGATAAGAAGCTGATAATGTATGTAGGGAAATATCAGCCCAGTGATAGTCAAGAGTAGTCTTTCATACTCAACACTGTGGCTCTATGTCCTAATGGAGAAAACCTCTAGGTAGAGGGGAGGGTCTTAACTCCTTCTTGCTCCTGTATCTCTAGGCAGTTTCTTGTTTACCCAGGATGGAGTGGGCTCTAGTTCTTATGAATGTTGAGAAACAAGTTTGAATTGTTTTGAGATTCAGTACATTCTTTATTTTTATTTTTTTTTATTTCAGAGAGGAAGGGAAAGGGAGAGAGAGAAACATCAATGATGAGAGAAAATCATTAACTGGCTGCCTCCTGCACTCCCCCTACTGGGGATTGAGCTAGCAACCTTGGCATGTTCCCTTGACCAGAATCAAACCTGGACTCTTCAGTCTGCAGGCCGACACTCTGTCTATCCACTGAGCCAAACCAGTGAGGGCAAGATTCAGTATATTCTAACTAAAATGGACCATCCAGTTCTATTTGTTTTAAAAAAAATATTTTTTTTTATTAAGTTCTAAAACTCTGTACAAAAAAAAAACAAAAATTCTAAAATGGAAGCCAAAAATATGAAACAGATTATGGTCACCCATAGTTATTCTGAGATACTTATGTAGAACTGAGGCTTTGTATTTTGAAATCCATGATTTATTCCAACCCCCTTATTTGGAGATATGGAAATGAAGGTTCTCTGCGTTAAAGTGACAAGTCTAAGGTTACAAAGCTGGTTATTTGGAATGTTGACAAGATGGTAAATAAGATTTCAAGGTGTGGCCTTCCCCAAAGGTAGACACTTAACTCAGGCGTCTGGTTCCTCCTACCACAGATAAGATAAAAAATATAATAGCAGTCTCATCCAAAATGTCTTCCAACATAGCAGAATTCTAGAAGTCCCTGCCTCTAGACATCTCTTCTAGTCAGCCAGCCCTCTCGGTAATCAGAGGTAGTGTGTGAGTGAGGCAAGCCTGTGTACATGCACTCGGCAAGCCAGATTCTGAGGCAAGCATGCTGTATCCCTCCCTTCCCATCTCCCCTACTTACTGAATAACCTGTCTCATTTTCTCATCTGAAAATTATGCCAACTTCATAATCTTTCAGTGAGGATCAAATAAGATAGGCATATAGTACCTCACATATGCCAGGTGAGGACTGGGTCCTTCACGGTGACTGGGTGCTGGTTTTGTGGTCATGGTGGTGCCGGTGGCAGTTGTGCTAAAGGTTGCGGTAGAACTGATTCCTGTTCAGGCTACTCTGACATGTTCCTGCTCATGTTCTAATTCCTGCTGTCCTGACCACATCTCAGCTTTGTGCTCCAGCTTTCACTTTGCTGAAAAGGGAAAGTGCAGTCATTTTCACTCAACTGGGCTAAGTAGGGCTATTCATTGATGTCCATTTATGACCTTTGTTGATTTCACCCTTTTTACCCCCCCCCCTTCTTTTCCCCAGCTCCCTAAGCACTTGTGTGTACTAGCTAAGTCAATACTCGGTAAATATTTGTCCATGTGAATGGTACTGTTGTACCATCACCTGAGACCAGTCTGGGCAGTTCTCACCAGCACCACCCTTGAACTTTGGTCTTCCTGCCCTTTAACCAGCTCATCCTATGCCCTGTGTTCCCATCCCTTGAACTTGTATCCCTCTCCCACACCTTGGTCTTTGGTTCTCTCTTCCAAGAATTTCTTGGTTGATCTTCCATGTAGATACTCCAGTCCATACTTGTACCTGGAAGAACACATCAGAACATGCCCAGGCATGCCGTCCTTGTTACCGCTGAGGCCCACTGTCCCAGACTCGGAGAGCACTCTCAACCCCCAACTGCATGTGGCACTTGCTGTAAACTGTTCAGGGGACACAAAAGGAGGTCAATAAATGATTAGTAGAAGAATGTGGATGTTCTATTAAAAGGAATGCTTAGCTCTTATTGCAGTCATATAATAGGCAGCAATCATGATAGCCGAGGGACATGAAAACAGCAGAGTTTATAGAGTTCTCTGTCATGTGGGCTTGTGTGTGCGCGCACGCACGTGCACTTGCCTGTGAATTTATTCCCAAGGCATTCTGGGAACTTGTTCTTGAGAAAGAGATATCAGGCCTGGTTTGCCCCCTCCCCCTTCTTTTTATAGCAATAACTTGGTGGCTGGAAATAGAGTATTAGTTTCTATAGCTTAAAAAAATACTTTTTTAAAAAAACCTTCTTGAACACTGGTTCTCAGTGTGGTTCCTGGTTCCAAGAGCATTGCAATTACTGGGAATTTGTCAGAAATACAAATTCTAGGGTCCCACCCCAAATCTACTAGATCTTTAGGGGGTCTTTGGGGTTGAGGCCCAGCAAGCTATATTTTAAGAACCCCCTCTCTCAGGCAATTCTGATATGCCCAAGTCTAAGAAGCACATAGCCACTGACTCCTAAATCATCACCCCCAAGTGACTAGGAAAGTACACTTGGGGTCTTTAAACCTGGATTAGATCTATCTCCCAATTCATCTTTATTCTAAGGCTGAAGGTGTTCACAAAAGAAAAAGTAAGATGCCTCTATTAAAGAAGTGACGTTCTTGAATCAAGCCTTCCTCTAAACCAGAACCTTTAGAATATAACTGAACAAATATATTGCTGATTTTTTTTTAAAGGAGATGTGTTGTAGCTTACATTAAGATGTATTTTATGAGTAATAAATACCACAATCAAGGCTATGTATATTTTTTCCCTACTAACTTTTGATTTTTGTTTTTGGGATATTAAGCATAGTTCTGTTACTTCCAAACTTTACATTTTATCACATCTTTCATTTACCTTAAAGAATTTCATGGCATATTTGTTAAGGTATGAAATAAAAATCTATATAGTCTTAAGCATTTAACAATATTCTGTAATCTTTGGGAATTTCGTAGAAGTTGCAAAATAAGTGTTTATAGTCATGGTATAGCCGCTAAAGGATAATTCTCAAATAGGGTAGAAATAATTTATCAGCTGTAGATAATTAGATGAGTGAACATATGAAACCCTGGATCACAAATTTTTAGGAAGTGATAGTTTGACTAGATTTGAGCTATCGCAGGTTACCAAAACTAGAAAATGTGAGTGGATTTATCACACCCTCAAAAGATAGATAGTTCGCATTAAGCAATCCTTTCAGTACACTTCTCATTATAAGTTTTCAATTTCCCAAGGAAGTAATAAAAACTCTGGGATTTGTAGTTAGGAAACCTGAAATTTAATCTAGACTCTACTGAAATGTGTAAAATTTAGGCAAATCTCCTGGACTTTCTGGGCCTCAGTTCTTTGTTTTCGAGTTTTTGTTTCTGTTTTAATTGTAAGATGATAGTTGTTGGTTTAGATCAGGGTGGGGAACCTTTTTTCTGCCAGGAGCCACTGGATATTTATAACATAATGCATGGGCCATATAAAATTATCAACTTAAAAATTAGCCTACTATATTTGGTCAAACATTTAATTAACTCAGCCCTAATGCCTTGGCAGGGCCAAACAAAATGATTTCAAGGGGCTGATACAGCCCAAGGGCCAGACATCAGGTCCCCATCCCTCGTTTAGATGAACCATTTCTTTTATCTTCACTGAAAGAAAAATAATTTTTACATAAATAGTGGAAATCAGAATATACTAGTAAATAAGACATGAACTAAATTTTCTAGCTAGATTTTGCTAATCTGAACACATTTTGTATGCTTTTTAATATTTTTTTCTTGAAATCTTTTCAGAATCTGTTTAGGAAAAAAAATGATGGCAGTTTAAATATTTTCAGTTAATGGGGAAGATTATCTTTAAAGTTAAAATCTGAGTTTTGTGATATTTTTGCTTCTAAATAGGCATTGACTCTCACTGATAGAAACTTCTCTGTATATTTATTAAGGGTATGTTGAAAATGTTAATGCTTAATTTGTGGAAACATAAGCTGGGCTATTAACTGATATTTTCATTTTCACTTAGGTTTTGACTAATTTAAAATTTTTAATAATTTTTAAATGGAAAGTATAATCTGATTAAGCCTGAATATTTTCTTACAGTGATCCATACGTGAAACTTTCATTGTATGTAGCAGATGAGAATAGAGAACTTGCTTTGGTGCAGACAAAAACTATTAAAAAGGTATGTGTCCATCCTAATTAAATTTCATTTAAGCCATAATTTAATCCAATTAGATAATGCTTTTTGGTTCTGTAGAAGTTTAAATTTTACGATTAAGATGGAAATATTTTTATTTTAAGCATTTCCCAATATTAAATCTATAAACTGAGTGTTAATCCGAAATATGATCCTGGCTTTTAGTTAAATGACTGTATAAAACAATATTCTTAAGATAAGTATTATTACAAGTATAGCAAAACAAGGATTTGTTCTTGTTGGCTTATTATTTTTCATAAAGAAATTTAAAATAACTTAAAATATGTTTAATGAAATAGAATTGTGTGGGGAATTGGTAGGCACAAAGTGGGGATGGTTTATCTTGAAACAAATATTTCCAAAGAAGCAAAATACTTGTTTATCTACATGAAAACAAATAAAAAACATTAATAATAAAACTATGTTTATGTGCGTATGTTTTATTTTTCTAAATTTCACATATATAATTTCATTAAAGGTGTTTTCCTAATTGTATTTTAATTCATCTATCTCCATGGAGTATAATGTAAAATATTTGCTCCATATTTCGTACATTTATTGAAGATGCTTTTTTAAAATCCAAAGTGCTGTTATTCTTCATGCTTCAGTGTTATTTACAAACGCATTACTATTATTTCTTCCTTACTACCTCTGGGTAGTTAGATAACACTGTGATAAGCAATTCCTGGAGAGTTTGATAGCTTTTTAACAAAATGGTAACTCTCCTGCTATTGTGCAGACGCCTGGGCTCCATGACCAGGTCATTTTGTGTAAGGAACTGCAGTGTAGCGTGCCCTCCGCCTGGCATTCGGCCTGGCATTAAAAATGTTTTGATTAGTGGGGAGGATGCCTGCAAAGGACAAGGACGGAGGCCATTGTTTGCTGTGCGAGGCGCTGTCACTGGTTTGGTTATCAGTGTAGAGGGAGGCCCGCCTTGCAGGGAAGGCAAGCCGAAGGCGGAGGGAGCAGAGCACCAGAGCCACCGAGGCGGTGATTTGCGATATGGAAATGTGTTTTCTTCTGAAGGGAGGCCCTCCTCCTCCCTCCGCTCCGCGGTAGAGGTGCAGCTGCATGGCTGGGGCTGCTCTGCCTGCTCGGCAGCCAGCCTCCTGGTTAGTATTACCGCGCTGTGTTCGCTGTGTGCGCTGGGGTTTAAGAACTGCTTTCATCCTCCTCTCCGCCTGGCCCGGTGCCTTGTCTTTCATGCTGTTTTGTGGGCTCGTGTTGTTGTTTTCTTACCTGTCCTTTGCTTCCTCCCCTCTATGTTTCTATGAAGCTGGTCCCCAAGGCTGCTGCAGCCCCTGGCACGCCTGAGCCTGCCCTGCCTCTCCCTGACTGCCTGGCACCCTTCTCTCCTCCCTCCTCCCCTCTCCCATTACCATCCTGTCTCCCATAACCATCCCTGCTCCATTCTTAGCTAAAAATATGAAACCCACTGTGTAGGGCTGGATTTATTGTTGAGCTGTGGGTGGGGAAAGTGCTGATTTTTAAAAATGCCAGTTCAATGTTATACAAATTGATTTTTATTTTTTTACGGTGTAGTGTGTTGTTGTTATGGTTATTATTATTTTTTGCTTCTTCCTGCACTAGTATGTTAAAGGAAATAGAGTATCTGTAGCCATGGGTGAGGTTGTGATATCTCAGTCTCAACTTTTTACTATAATTTTTAAGACATATATTTATTTAAGAGTGTTATGCATGTCCAAAATGCACAAGCATATATATGTATATGTGTATATATTCTTTCATAGTATCTATTTCATCTTAGTTTCAAAGGATGTTTGGCTCATCTATTGTCTGTGCTTAGAACAAAATATCCTTTTCATGTTCTGTGTGATGTATATTTAAATATATTGATATGGAGATAGATTGAGAGAAAGATGGAAGGATAGGGAGAGGATTATTTTTAAACCTGTTATTTTGGGGGAAAATAATTTACTTTAGGTTTATAACTGGCAGACATTTTTTTTCTTGTTCTATGATCTGATCACCTATATTGTTCCTAAAAAATGTTCTTCAGATTTGAGTATTTATATAAGTAGTGAGCACTTTCACCTTCCTACCACCTGCTTCACTTCTTTCCAAAATGGTTTGTAGCATGCAGATTGAGAGAAGTGAACCAAGTTTATCTCTTTCTGGATAGGATAACTATATCAATTTTAATTTCTTAAAAGATATATTTCTGCCAAGACCGGTTTGGCTCAATGGATAGAGCGTCGGCTTGGGGACTGAAGGGTCCCGGGTTCGATTCCGGTCAAGGGCATGTACCTTGGTTTCGGGCATATCCCCAGTAGGGGGTGTGCAAGAGGCAGCTGATCGATGACTCTCTCATCGATGTTTCTAACTCTCTATCTCTCTCCCTTCCTCTCTGTACAAAATCAATAAAAAAAAAAAAAAAAAAAAAAAAGATATATTTCTGTCTTCATGATGATGGCTTTTTACAGGTCCCCAGTGTTAATCCTTATGGTGGATAGCTTGCAATTTATGGGTTTTTGTCTATGAATTATCTGTTCCATAAATACTTCTCTTCCCCTTCTAGTTTGGTTTATAGAAGAGTTTCCAATAATTGACTTAATGTTTCTCTTCTGCAATTTTGAGATTTTTTCAGCTCTTTTTTAAAATCAGAAAAATGGTTAAGCAAATACTTGGACTGTGTTGTACTAGTAACTGCTAAAGTTTCAAAGGTTGTAAAAGGTATTACAAGATACTTTCTCTTTCAGACGCTGAACCCAAAATGGAATGAAGAATTTTATTTTAGAGTAAGTTTTTCATTTTTTTTTTTTGGTTATTGATAACTAGTTATTGATAGCTAGATTGAGATATTATCCTAATAGATTCATATTGAGTGAAAGCTGTTAAATTTTTATTGTGAAATTCCTTGCAATATGAGAAATGGTTGGATAGCCTCCTAATGTGCCCCAAATTTTCAAAGACTGTGACGAGTGGTAACAAAATCTGACTTGTTTTATTTGGAAATGTTTTAGGGAAATAAAAAGAAAGCTATCCAAATATCATATTTAAGCCTTCCTATTAAAAATTTTCTTTAAAAATCAAGCAAAATATCATTAAAATATTAGCTTACTTACCTCTAGAGATATATGTTATGAATTATTTTAGAGATGGGATAAAATAATAGAGGCAACATGATTAAAAAGAAGCCTAAATTTTACCTATTATGTTCCAATCATGAAGGAAAATTTTGTAATTCAAATATTTAGTGTGAGTGTATATGTGTAGTATAAAACTACTTCTGGAATTTAAATATTACGAAATTAGGTAAATTTCCTTAACTTTTTATATTTAACTAGTAACTCTATGCACAAAATTCGTGCAATGGTAAGCCTTCCTTCCCCCGGGCTGCTGGCTTTGCAGCCCTGGTCCCGCCCCCTGCCTGCACACCTACCTTTGCCTGACACTGCCTGCGTCCACTGCCACATACCCCCAGTTCCTCAGAGGCCCACCACTCATAGATCTCCCCACTGGCTGGTGGCCTGGGCCTCCCTCTGTGGGGCGATGGTGAGGCCCCCTGACCATTTGCATAGCACCTGGCTTGGTGCCAGTGGGTGTCATAGCATGATCATCCAGAAAGTCATCCGCATAGTCGTCTTGCTGTTTGGTTGATTTGCATATTATGATTTTATCGTTATAGATTATTATAGATACCTAGAAGAGCTATATGTAGAAATGGCTGGATTCTGTGAATTAACAGAGAATATTATTTGAAGTGGTTGCTGGTTTTTTTATACTAAAATTTTGAAAATATTAAACCTCTCAGTTCAAAATGAATATATTTTCATTGTCTATAGCTGTATTATAAAAAACTATTTTACCTTTAAAATTGTTCCAAATGAGACATTTTGATTAGTGTAGATTCCCAAACAATATAATCAGTAGGCACATTGTAATTGGTCCTAATTTTTTCTTTCAATCACAATAGTATTTTATGGGCCCCAAACTTAGGTCACTAGATACATATTTTCTATTATATTCAGAGCTGAAATATGGCATTGATTTTTTAAAATATATTTTTTATTGCTTTCAGAGAGGAAGGGAGAGGGAGAGAGAGATAGAAACATCAATGATAAGAGAGACTCATTGACCGGCTGCCTTGTACACGCCCCGGGGCCCACAATCCAGGCATGTTCCTTGACTAAGAATTGAATCATGACCTCCTGGTTCATAGGTCAGTGCTCAGCCACTGAGCCACACCAGCTGGGCATGGCATTTGATATCCTAATACTTGATGAGATCCTATGTGTAGTCTCGACCAGACAGATGTATTTAAAATTACTTCATGAGTGCCAAAACCGGTTTGGCTCAGTGGTAGAGCATCGGTCTGCGGACTGAAAGGTCCCAGGTTCGATTCCGGTCAGGGGCATGTACGTTGGTTGCGGGCACATCCCCGGTAAAGGGTGTGCAAGAGGCAGCTGGTCGGTGTTTCTCTCTCATCAACGTTTCTAGCTCTCTCTCTCCCTTCCTCTCTGTAAAAACTCAATAAAAAAATATATTTAAAAAAAATTACTTCATGAAGAACTGAAAAGCTAATGGGGGTGCATTGATGTTACTGGCCTTTCCAAAGCTTTCCACTTGTAAAACTCCAAATTATTTAGACCCCTTTCAGTTTAACACCCTGGCCACATTTATGTAAATATTAGTACTTCCAATTTTTTATCCAACTAATCTTGGCTCTATATGTAAACTCTATTTTTCTTGGATATTTACAAAAAGGCCTTTGTTTTATTCATTTCACAAATCTTATTGCCTGCCTCCTGTGTGTTGGCTCCTGCCATGGCTTGCAGGTGTCCTGACAGCAGCTCAGGCCTTCATAGAGCTTAAACACTAAACCCTCCGTCTGTCTGCTTGCTTCCTCACTAGGCCTCTGAGGGCAGGCCAGGGGGCCACAAGGAAAAGTCGTGCTAACTTGTCAGATGTTATTCCATTCCATTCTCCATCACGAAGCAGCCGAGACTCTGATAGTAGACATGTTCCCATCTCGGGCTCTATAAAATGCAGACCCTGGAAAAGCTACTTGAGGACTCACCTCCTCTGCAGGTTCCTTGTCACTTACATAGGAGAGAAAGTCCTCACTCGAGGGGGCTGTTTCCAGGATTTACATGTGGTAATATAAATGAGAACACCTACCACCATGTCTCACATGTGGCTGGTGGAGTCTGCGTGATGATTCCTGCCATTTGGAGGAGATTTTGGCAGAGAGGCAGAAAGAAGCAAAAAGACATTGAAAGCCTAGTAGCTTTGACATTGACCCTGCATATCTTGGAAGGGAGCACATCTTTTTTCTCTTGGTCTCTCAAACAGTTCAAAGTCTGGGCTCTGGAGACAAGCAGGTCAGACCTGGTGGGGTTTCTGGTTGCCTTGCATAGTAGCTGTGGGCCTTTAGGCAAGTTAATACACCCTCAACAAATGTGGTCTCAGAACCTCATTTGTAAGATTGTGTTGACAGTTACACATCATGGGTTTTCTGTCAGTATTAAAGGAGATCATGTGTTTTTTTATATTTAATGAGAAGGTCGTGCCTGGAAAATAAGCACTAGTGAGTGGCTGTTTTTACTGTTTTGTCATTTTAATTATTGCTATTATATTATTACTAGAGGCTCGGTGCACAAAATTCGTGCATGGGGGGATCCCCTCAGCCCAGCCTGCACCCTCTCCAATCTGGGATCCCTCAGGGGATGTCCGACTACCGGTTTAGGCCTGATCCCAGGATGGGGCCTAAACTGGCAGTCTGGCATCCTTCTCACAATCCGGAATTGCTGGCTCCTAATTGCTCATCTGCCTGCCTGCCTGATCACCCCTAACTGCTCCTCCCTCCCCCACCCACCAGCCTGATCACCCCTAACCACCTCTGCCTGCCAGCCTGATCGTCCCCAACTGCCTCTCCCCACCAGCCTAGTCACCCCTAACTGCTCCCCCCCCCCACTGGCCTGGTTACCCCCAATTCTGCCCTCCCCCCCCCTGCCTGGTCGCCCCTCACTATTCCCCCCCTCCCCCCCGCCAGCCTGGTTGCCCCCAACTGCTCCCCCCTGCCAACCTGGTCACCCCATGCAGCCTGCTGTTCAGTCATTTGGTTGTCCCTCGCTAACATCCCCTCCCCCCTTGCTGGCCTTATTGCCCCATGCAGCCTTCTGTTTACTGTGAGGGCATCCTGACCAATATGCATATTACCCTTTTATTAGTATAGATTGTTGTTTTTATTATGATTAGGCCTAAGAGCTACCCTTAGGCATAGACCTTGTGAAGATGTAGCCTTGGTTTGGAGCAGCAAGTTTCAACCAGTGAGCTGCAAGAATTTTTAAAACTTGCAATACCTGATTATTTAGTCAGAAGCACTGTCCTCTTTTCCCTTAGATCGTCAAATAAAATAATGACAGCAGCCAACACAACAATAGCCATCTGGAGTGAATGAATCAAAATTATAGTACCTTTTTTTTTTTTTTTTTTTGTCACATCAGCAAAAAGTATATTTTTTGGTATGCCAAAGAATTTTAGTAGTTTATATGTGTCATGAGATGAGACAGGTTGAAAATTGCTGGTCCAGAAGCATAAGCATGCCATTTGTAGAGGAGTTTGCAAAACCTTTAAAACTATTCAGAACTATTCTTTCTAATGTTAGGAAAGCAACTAAAAGCATTTTCTTTTGATATACCTCAGTAGTAGGCACAGAGCAATATAGAAATAAATAAGAGGACACTTGACTTAATAGATATAGGATTTGCAGAAGAAGTCACTTGTTCAGATAACACATTTGATTTGGGTACATTATAAAGCATTCCATTCTTTATCTCTTATTTCATCCTCTCAATTGTTTCTGCCCATTCTGAATTACCATTTATGTTTCTGTAGGTTAACCCATCTAATCACAGACTCCTGTTTGAAGTATTTGATGAGAACAGATTGGTAAGTGGGTCTCAGTTTTTATTTTTGCTTCATTTAAAAAAATTATTTATAAAGCAAGTGCTTTTAAAACGGTGTTTATGTTGTACTTTTGACAGTATATATGTCCCTAACACATGGCTTTATTTTTGTTCTATTACAGACGCATGATTCTAACAAATATTTTTGTATGGCTAGGAAAAATTTTATTTGTATATGTAAATGTTTTTATCATACTAATATTAGTGAAAGTCACACTGATGATATATCAAACCATATGCTTACTTACACTCTGTTGGGAATACAGAATGATGGGCAAATCTGTAAAGGGTTCATTGCTCATATAAACAAACCTTTCAGGGATTTTAAATATAAGCCAGTCTGCAGTACTATCACTTATCTAACCATGAATCTATTGTGACCCTCCTTGGGGAAATCTAAATCTAATTAACAGTAGAGAGCAAAAAGTGAATCTATATTTAGCAGGTAAAATTAAGCTGTATTTTAAAAGTGATACTTTTTCAAGGGAAATTAGTAGAAAGTACCGTTAAAGAACTAAAGATATGCCTGAGGCATTAGACTGATACAAACTAGCATTTTATATAGAGATTGATAGATAGGTAAAATAGAGATATAGTATATATCTATAAATGTGTGTGTGATAAAACTAAGATTCCATTTTAGAAATGAATTTCAGAAGCAAATCTGGCTTGAAGCATTTTGCCAGTTACCTAATTAGAATGTAAACATCAAGTACCCATGAGTCAAGTGTTCCAACTATGAAAATGAACTTTCAGTTATGTGCCAGTGCTTTAAAAAATATTTTTGTGTTGATTTCAGAGATGGTTTGAAAGATGGATTGAATATCTGGTGTTTTAATGCTGATGTTTTTCTCTTTGTCCATTAATCCACTAGAGGGAGAAGGAGAGAGATATAGAAACATCAATGATGAGAGAGAATTATTGATCAGCTGCTTCCTGCATACCCCTTACTGGGAATCGAGCCCACAACCTGGGCATGTACCCTGATGGGGAATCGAACCACAACCTCCTAGTTCCTGAGTCAATGCTTAACCATTGAGCCACACCGGCCTGGCTATGTGTCAGCTTAAGGTACTCTCAGAGGAGGTATTATAATTCAGTGTAGTCAGTTATCACTCAAATCTACTTTCCCTGAAACTTACATTTTGTTTGTTTTGGGGGGTAGGGTTGTTAAAATGAATGTTCTTATGAAGTGTTCCTGATGCAGAATTCAACTAAATAAAATTTTAAATAGCTCGAGATTAGAATATTTGGTCTGGAGAAACCTTATAACACAACTGGCTTAACTCCCTGACCTTGGCATTGAGAGGTGAGGTCTAGATCCCGGACATGATTTAGACAGGCAGTCGGGCAGAGCCCTGGTGGAAACTGCTGTTCCCTCATCTCAGGCCAGTGGTGGCAAATAGCCAGGCTCTTCACCCCGATTATAGAATTTGGTTGTGTATCTAATCTCCTATATTTGCTATTATTTTCCAAATTAGAGAATCAACATATTCTGACCTACCATCCTGTTATCTTTTCCATTAAAAATGTATTTGGGTTATTGGTGGCTCTGCATGGAACTCAGCCTTTTTTTTACCTTGAGTGGTAATTAGTTGTACTATACAACTAAATCAGTTTTGCTGTGTGTCTGAAGTTATTTTCTTTTTCAATTGAATGGGAGAGTCCCCTGAGGGTGGAGGCCTTAGCACCCCCTCTCTCATCCAGCAAAGACTGAGTGAGGCAGTGCTCTGTAAAATGACAGTAGTCCTTGAAGTCACAGATGCAATCACAGACTAATCCTTAGTCTCTCATTTATTGAGTATAATAACACTTCTTTAAGGTGAAGGAAGGGTCAAATCTGAGGGAAAATTGTCTGTTAGATGTGTTTAATTCATGACTTAATTTTCTTCTATTAAGAGAAATTTAAGAAATTTGTTTCTCATTTCCATTATCTAACACAATGACTTGTTGAGATGACCTTGTCATGGGGCCCAAATATATTCCAAACTCAAAGGCTTTGAATGCAGAGCTCTAAAAAATCCTGTGTGAATACAAACTTTATCTGATAAACTCTTTGATTATATTAATACCTAGTTTTACCCAGGCCATCTGCAGTGTCCTTACTGTGCGGTAAATGTCTGTTTTTTGTTGTTGTTTTTTTTTATGCTGCTGTTTTTCTCTTTGGCCATTAATCCAGCTAAGAGAATACATGACTGTGGTGGTACTTGGCAGGTTTTTTTTTAATGTTTGTTTGTTTTAGATTTTTATTGATTTCAGAGAGGAAGGGAGAGATAGAAACATCAATGATTAGAGAGAATTCATCAACCGGCTGCCTTCTGCACATCCCCAACTGGGAAATCGAGCCCACAACTATGTGCCCTTGACAGGAATCAAACCTGGGACCCTTCAGTCCATAGGCTGACGCTCTATCCACTGAGCCAAACCAGCTAGGGTGGAACTTGGCAGTTTTAGCATTAAACAAACTAGCTTCCATTTCTCTCATAGAGATCATTTCTAGCATTTAAAACACATGCCTTTAGAAAACAGGTTTGCATATATGTAAACACAGGTTTGATCCCCCATGCCCTCAACTACAGAGCCATGTTTTGCGGATTTTAAAATAAACTTTTTTTCACTCTTTGCAGCTTGGTATTTCCCCCTCCTTTTTTTTTTTTTTTTTTTTACTCCTTCCTAAATAAACCTCTTTGTTAAATAACCAATGTTTCTGGATCGCAGAAAATAGTTCATTTAAAATACCCAGAATATATCCAAGTGTGCAAATCTGATGACAGCTTTTTTTCAATGTGGACCTTTAGTTCTCTTTTTTAACTCCTTTTGGCCCTTTATAGAAATAGCAAGATTCCATGCTAGTATCCCAACTATGTTAATCTTGTTAACTTCTCACTGGAAAAGTTGGCTCTGGACAGCTTTTATTCTGTATGATATTTAAGTTAACTTAGTACAAAAAGCACATGTTCACCCTTCTTCAATTTTCCTTCCTTTTGTTGGGGGCGGGGGGGGGGTAATTGTTTTTTTCCCTTATCTGGCGTATGGGAGAAATGTTTTCTCCAGCTGGGTCTCTTCTCTGGTACTTCCCTCTCTGACAGCATATCGTATCATGTGAGAGTTACACATACACACACACACACACACACACACACACTCACCCTCCCTTCTAACTGAAAAGGGTTATAGTAACAGGCGGCAGACCACTAACTGGCAGTGTGAATATTTGTGCCCCTTGCCCTTAGCTATTTTATGACTTGTAGATCATGGTCTAATTATTTAGCATTAAAGGGACACCAATTCTGCGGAGTATGTAACTGTATTTATAGTACCTTTTATTAGTTTGCATTCCATCCGGGTAGTGTGGTGATATCATAAATAACAGGAGCATAACCTCCGAGGCTTGTGAAAGGGTTTTCCTAGAGCCAAGGCAGTTTTGCTTGTCGTCATTCGGTCCTGCGAGGAGGTGGGGAAATACCGTGTGTGCTGGTGCTGTCAGTGCCAGGTCTCGCGTTGGTTAGAGCGCCCAGTGCCTGCTGCGTTTGTTCGGAAAGAACTGTCCTGAGAGTGAGATGCGGGCAGATTTATAGCCGCGTGGCTCGGAGTGTGTCTGCTGCCCCAGTCAGCTGTGAGAGCTCCCTGCTGGGGCCACTCCTGTCTGATGGAAAAAAGCAGCAGCTGGGAAGGTGGTGTTTCAGGCTCTTGCTGTTTAAAAAGAGAGAGAGAGAGCGAGCGCGAGCGAGAGGGGGAAAACTCCACTAAGTCCACAAGCTGGCATTGGAGGGGGAGACGGCGGTCATGTGGTTCTAGCCACCCTACCCTCTGTCACAGTGTGGATGAGAGCTTTTTGCTCTTACCCAATCATGCCTGGAATGCTGCTTGCCACTTGGGTTATTTCTGCTATCTGTCGCTCTCGGTGCCGCAGTGCTAAAGGTTTGGCAGATGGGACGCTTTTCCTTGGAGTTTGTGTCTTCGGTTTTTGACTTCTGGCAGTGCCGGGCGTGTTGTCGCCGCTGGTCCTCTCCCTCCCTGCCCCCCTGGGCACCATGGCCCATCGGCTTCGGTTTCATTTTGGCTCCAGTCGCAGCAACACAGCCCCTGAATCGGAGATCCTCGACCAGGAGAGAGAAGACGACTTTTTCATGGCATTCCACACCCTGCCGCGGAGGAGCGGCGCTCACCCCTGCGCCCACAGCGCGGAGGACAGAGGCCTGCAGGAGGCGGTAGGCGCGCTCAAGCGCAGCACATCCATGTTCATCCCGCAGCTCCTGAGCCCCACGGAGGCGCGGCCCACGCGCAGCTCCTCCATGCAGATCTCGCTGCAGCGCAAAGCGGCCGACGGGGCGCCGGACACCTGCGGGCCACCCGAGGGTCTGGACTGCGACGCCGGGTCTGTGTCTCTGGGCCGCTGTGCGGAGCCCCCCAAGTCCCAGACCCCGGAGAACTCTCCACCCAGAGCCATCCGGGGTTTAGGCCCCCAAGTTAACGGCCTGTGTGGCCACCTAGCACGGAGTCCTGTCCCTGCGGATGGCCACGAGGAGGCCGAGCCTCGGGGAACGAAGGGCAGCGGGCTGCGGATCCAGCACCGGGCCTCCAGCGCCGACGTGCGCCAGGTGAGGCTGACGCCGCCCTTCGGGGCCGACGGCCTGTGCGGCCCTTCGACTCCGGAGCCCAGGCGCTGGTCCCTGCAGCACGTACCAGATGCTTCTGGAGGTTCTGGGAAGCGGTGCTTTGTCTTCCAGCTGCAGCAGCCACCACCAGGCACACAGGGGATGGGTGGTGACTTCAACTTTGGGTTCACGGGCACGAAGGGAGACCGGTTGGTGCGGTACCCCCGCATCCGGCTTGAGAGGAGCACCTCGTACCCCACACAGCCCCGAGCAGAGCACAGCAGCCCCGTGGAAGAGCGGGGTCACCTGGAGGCGCCGCCCCGGGGCCGCAGGATGGCTCCCGAAATCCACAGGACGAATTCCGTGGAAAGGACGCCACAGGGTC